ATAAATGAAAACACTTTTAAAGAAATATAATTATTATATTTTTTTAATTTTAGAAAATATAATTTAAATTAAAAAAATAATTTAAAATTAAAAAGCAATTTAAATAAAATGTAACTTTTATTTTAAAAGGAGACAGTTTTAATTTAAAGTAAAAAGATTTTATTTGGAGTAAATGGTGACAATTTTAAAAATATATAATTTAAAAATTAAAAATTTAATTTAATTTAAAATATATAATTTAATTTAAAAGATATATTCAATTTAATTTAATTTTAATTTAATTTTAATTCCAGTTCGGGTTTAATTTACATTAATTTTAAAAATTAATGTAATTACCTTAATTTCAATTCAATTTTAATTTAATTTACTCTAGTTTATTTTAATTTAATTTAATCCAATTTAATTTAATTAATTTAATTTAATTAATTTAATTAATTTAATTAATTTAATTTAATTTAATTAATTTAATTTAATTGAAAGTGCTGCTGCTGCGTCTGCAGTGGCTGCTGGCGGGCTTTGCTGCTTTTTTGAATTTGTCTCTTTTGGCAATTGTTTGGGATTTCTTTTTTGCTGCTGGATGGAAAGCCCTGGCTCGTGCTGCTGCTGCTGTTCTCGCGCTGCTGCAGCAGCAGCTGCTGCAGCAAAACTCCCTCGACGCCCTCATCGTCTGCATGCAGGTCAGCAGCAGCAGCAGCAGCAGCAGCAGCAGCAGCAGCAGCAGCAGCAGTAGCGGCAGCAGCAACAGCAGCAGCGGTGGCAGCAGCGGCGGCGCACTGCGCAGCCGCTTGCTTCTGCTGCTGCTCAGCAGATGTTCTGCTGCTGCAGCAGCAGCAGCTGCTGCTGCTGCAACAGCTGCATCAGCTGCTGCAGCCGCAGCTGCTGCAGCTGCTGCTGCAGCCTCTGCTGCAGCAGCAGCAGCATGCACTAAAATTAAAAGTGCATGCACTAAAATTAAAAATGCATGCACCAAAATAAAAGTCTCCAAGTGTCTCCTTTTGCGATTTGGCAAGTTGTGGGGTTTCTGGTGTCTGTACACCCGACGCAGCAGCAGCAAATGACTCCTGTGGACTGCAGATGGATTTTCTTTTATTTCTTTCTTCTTTTGTTTTTATTTTTGTTTTATTTGTTTTGTTTTAACCTTTGTTTTAGGGTTTAGGGTTTAGGGTTTAGGGTTTAGGGTTTAGCAAAGTCATTTCGAGCTGTGTCTGGGCTTTTTGGGGTGTACGTACACCGCGCATGCACCCCACACTGCGCGTTGGGGTGTACGTACACCCCAGCGCATGCAAAGTCTCTTTTCGTTTCTTCGCAAATACTGTTCGGATTTGCTTTCCGTTTGCTGCTGCTGCTAGCAGCAGCAGCGAACAGCTGCTGCTGCTGCTGGCAGCAGCAATCAGCTGCTGCAGTGTCTCCTTTTTGTGTCTTTTTGTTTCTTTTTTGCTGCTGCTTTGCTGCTGCAGGGCCTCAAACACTCCAGCTGTCTTGCTGCACCCCACACTTTTTCCCGAGCTCTTGCTGCAGCAAAAATTTCCAACAAAGATCTTCTCCGCGCCTCTCTCCAGGCCCACGCGCAGCTGCTCACAGTCCGTGCTGCTGCTGCTGCTGCTGCTGCTGCTGCTGCTGCTGCTGCTGCTGCTGTCTCCTTTGGGCCCGTAGTTTCGCTGCTGCTGTTGCTGCTGCTGCTGCTGCTGCTGTCTCCTTTGGGCCCGTAGTTTCGCTGCTGCTGCTGCTGTCTCAGCTGCTGCCTGCCTCCTTCGGGTCCCCGTGGCTTTGCTGCTGCTGCTGCTGCTGCTGCTGTTTGTCTCGTTTGGGCCCCTAGCTTTGCTGCTGCTGCTGCTGCTGCTGCTGTCTCCTTTGGGCTGCCTCTGGGGGCTGATTTCTGTGTGTCTCTCCTTGAATTAATTCAGGAGCTTCTCAGACTCAATTTAATTAAATTCTTTTTATTTAATTATCTCCTTTTAATTGTTTTCTTTTAATTGTTTTATTTTAATTATTTTATTTCAATTATTTTCTTTTAATTGTCTCCTTTTAGAGCTGAAGGTCCTGCTGCGCTGCTGCGTCGTTTGTGCTGCCGGCAGACTCTGCTTTGCTGCTTGCCTCCCCCCCTTGAGCAGCAGCAGCAGCAGCAGCAGCAGCAGCAGCTGCAGCAGCAGCTGCAGCAGCAGCCAGCTAGCTTTTACGTGGAGAGAGACAACTCAGGCAAGGAGTGCTGCTGCGTCTCCATTTGTTTCTTTTGTCTCTTTTATTTTATTTTCTTTCATTTCCTTTTTTATTTTATTCTACTTTATTTCTCTTTTGTCTCCTTTTGTTTTTATCCTCCTTTTGCTGCTGCTGCTGCTGCTGCTGCTGCTGCTGTCTCTTTTCCAAACTCTTTCTCTGCACAGCTCTGGTGCTCTGGCTGTCGCCTCCGCGTCGCTGCTGCTGCTGCTGCTGCTGCTAGTGCTGCTTCTACTGCTGCTATTGCTGCAGCAGTAGCAGCAGCTCCTGCTGCTGCTGCTTGAGCATGAGGCTTGTTGTTTGCTGCTTGTCTTTGAATTTATATTTTTATATTTTTATTTTTTCAGGTGTCACTGGAGTCGGGGCCCCTTATCTGTCTTCCTTTGTTGGGTGTCTCCTTCCACAAGAGACTCTCGTAGCAGCAGGTTTGCTGCCAGCAGCCGCAAACAGCAGCAGCAGCAGCAGCAGCAGCAGCAGCAGCGCCAGCTCAGAAGACACAGCCACCCCCGGTGACGTCGCCAGAACCAGCTTGAGCAGCAGCAGCAGCAACAGCAGCAGCAACAGCAGCAGCAGCAGCAGCAACAGCAGCAGCAGCAACAGCAGCAGCAGCAGCAGCAGCAGCAGCAGCAGCGTGTGGCTGGCCGTGGACATGAGGGGCCTGCTGACCCGGCAGTACTTGTGGGAAGGCAGCTGGCTGCACGAGTTGCTGCTGCAGCAAAAGGGACTTGTCCCCAAATTTGCACTTTCGGATTCTTTGAGAGACCTCAGCAGCAAGTGCTGCTGCGAGTCCCCCTCAGTCGACACTCTCGCCTTCAAAGCAGCAGCAGCAGCAGCAGCAGCAGCAGGAGAGAGAGCAGCAGGAGGGCCCCCTGCGGCCTCTGAGGCCGCCTCTGCTGCAGCAGCAGCACCAGCGGGCGCCTCGGCCGCAGCAGCAGCTGCTGCTGCTGAGGAGGGGCCCCCCAGCAGCGGGCCCAGAAGCCGCAGCAGCAGCAGCAGCAGCAGCAGCAGCAGCAGCAGCAGCAGCGGCTCCGGCGGGGCCCGCTTCTGCGCGTGGCCGCTGGCCGACTTGTACTGCGGGCAGCTGCTGCTGCAGCAAGGAGACAAAGAGACACGGGGAGATGCAGCAGCATTTCAAGAAAAGATTGAAGCAGCAGAAAGGCAGCGGCAGCAGCTAACTAGCTGCCTGGGCCGGCAGCAGCGCAAGCTGCTGCAGCTGCTGGCCGCAGAAGAAAGAGCAGCAAGCCTCAAGGCAGCAGCAGCAGCAGAGCTCAGGGACAGTCTCGCGCGCCAGGCGCAGCAGCAGCAGCAGCAGCAGCAGCAGCAGCAGCAGCGGGCCTCCCGCCCTAAAGTCCTCTACCGCCTGCTGCCTTCGCCCAAGGGCACCCCACAAGGCAGTGCTGCAGAATCTGCTGCAGACCATTCGTCAGTCTCCTCTGCTGCTGCTGCTGCTGCTGCTGCTGCTGCGGGCGCACGCCCAGCAGCACCAGACACAGCAGCAGCAGCAGCAGCAGCAGCAGCAGACAGAAGCGTGGCATGCGCGGACCACGCTGAGGAGCAGAAGGAACCGAAAGGCTCGGCAGAGGCGAAAGAAGACGCAGCAACAGGAACAGCAGCAGCAGCAACAGCAGCAGCAGCAGCAACAGCAGCAACAGCAGCAGCAGCAGCAGACACGAGAGCAGCAGGGACTTCCTCCTGGACTACTCCCCGCAGCGTGAAGGCAATGCTTACGGCTGTTCGTTGGCAGCAGCAGCGGCCGGGCATGGGCCGCAGAAGCTCTGAGACGAGGCCGCAGCTGCAGCAGCAGCAGCAGCAGCAACAGCTGCAGCAGCAGCAGCAGCAGCAGCAGCAGCAGCAGCTGGGACTTGCGACTGAAGGCCAAGACGCAGGCGATGCTTCCCGAATGTGCGAAGCACTTGGAGAGGCAAACCCTCCAACTGAACAGACCCACCGCCTCCGCAGCAGCAGCAGCAGCAACAGCGCCAGCAGCAGCAACAGCAACAGCAGCAGCAGCAGCAGCAGCAGCAGCAGCAGCTTTAAGCTATTCAATCTTTCGCTAGATGCGCCGAGCTTGAGCCTCAGCAAGGGCAGCAGCAGCAGCGGCGGAGATTCCACGAAAGACCTCCTGGGGCCCCTCTTGAAGAGAGTGAGGCAGCTAGTTGCTGCTGCTGCTACTGCTGCTGCTGCTGCTGCTGCTGCTGCAGTGCTGTGTCTCCTTTGTCTCCTTTGCTGCAGGTCTCCGCCTCCGAACGAGCTGCTTCCAGGGCCCACTCTGCGATGCTGCAGCAGCGGGAAGTTTGCTGCGGCTTGGCTGATGAACTGCGCGAGCTCACGGAAGCAAAGGACCAGTCTGTTGCTGCTGCTGCTGCTGCTGCTGCTGCTGCTGCTGCTGCCGCTTCTGCTGCTGCTGCTGCTGCTGCTGCTGCTGTCCATTCTTGCTCCTCGCATGACTCAGTGCTTTTGTCAAACTGCACGTTTTGTGTCCCGTGCTGCTGCTTGCTGCTGGTGCTGCTGCGTTTTCCTACTCAGCAGCAGCAGCAGCAGCAGCTGCTGCTGCAGCAGCAGCAGCAGCAGCTGCTGCTGCAGCAGCAGCAAATGGGGTCTATCAAAATCAATTTATTTGCTGCTGGTGCATGCATGCGTGACCCCACATAGCTGCAGGCAAAGCCTCCCCCTATTCGTAATGCACATACGCATCACAGCGCGCGTGCTGCTGCTGCTGCTGCTGCTGCGCTGCTGCTGCTGCTGCTGCTGCTGCTGCTGCTGCAGGCTGCAGCTGTTTATGAGCCAGTTTCTGCAGAGCCAAGAGGCCAAAAGGTCTGAACTTGCTAAAGACCTTTTCCAAAAGGCCCTTTGGCTAAAAGACTCTCCTTGTCTTAGGCCTGAGGGGGCCCCCCAGCCCCTCCTTAAGCTGCTGCAGCAAAGGGCCCCCGGGGGGCCCCCCACAGAGGGGCCCCCGGGGGGCCCCCACAAAGAAGGGCCCCATGGGGGCCCCCTCAAAACGGGGCCCCTGGGGGCCCCCCCGGGGGCCCCTCCAGAGGCCCCCTCAGGGGCCCCGTCGGGGGCCCCTCCGGGGGGCCCCCCGGAGGCTTCCCTGGGGGCCCCCCTGGGGGTCCCCCCTGGGGGCCCCTCTGGGGGCCCCCTGGAAGGCAGGGTTCAGTCAGGGGCCCCAGAGGGCAGGGCCCCGGGGAATGCTTTGGGGGGCCCCCCAGAGCCTTCTTTGGGGCCCCCATTTGCTGCTAAGTAAAGGGCCCCGTGGCTATTCGGAGACAGTCAAAATTTGGGACTTTTGGGGCCCCAACAGTGGCATTTATTTTACTTATTTGTCCCCCAAACCCTAAACCCTAAACCCTAAACCCTAAACCCTAAACCCTTTTGGCTACACAAGCGTCTTAGACTTCCCGAAACCCCAACTACTGCACCGCCTCACGCCCAAGCCTTGGGGAACCCAAACCCTAAACCCTAAACCCTAAACCCTAAACCCTAAACCCTAAACCCTCGCAGCCCAGCGCAGCAGAGCTGCGGGCCCCGAAGGGAGTTCAGCTGCTGCCTTTTCGGCTGGCTTGCTGTCTCCTCTTCGTAGCTGCAGCAGCTAGCTGCTGCAATCAGCTGCAGCAGCTAGCTGCTGCAGCTAGCTGCAGCAGCTAGCTGCTGCAGCTAGTTGCTGCAGTTGCTTCCTCATTAGATTCTGGAGCTGCTGCGTCCCCTATGTGCTGCTGCTGCTAGCTAGGCTGTGTGTGGGCTGCAGCGCAGCGGCTGCTGCAGCACTTGGGGCCTCTGCTGCAGCAGCTGGAAGCAGCAGCAGCAGCAGCAGCAGCAGCAGCAGCAGCTAGAACACTTTTTGTTCCTTTATTTAGTTATTTGCGGCGAACTTTGAGAAAATGCCAAGGCGGTACTACTTTGGGGCCAGGGGGGCCCCCCGGGGCCCCCGTGGGGGCCCCCCGGGGCCCCCTGGGGTCCCCCGGGGGCCTCCCGGGGCTCCCTGGGGCCCCATAGGGCCCCCTAAAGGCCTCCCGGGGCCCCCTGGGTCCCCACGGGGGCCTCCCGGGGCCTCCTTGGGCCCCCGGGGGCCCCCCTGGGGCCCCCGGGGCCCCCTGGGGCCCCCGGGGCCCCCGCATTTGAGGGTTCGGGCTCTAGGGCAGGCGAATGCAAGCCAAGTGGCCATCATCGCCGCCAGCCAAGACTGCAACACAAGTGTGGGGCCCCACACTTTCTGTGTGGGGCCCCACACTTTCTGTGTGGGGCCCCACACTTGCTGCTGCCTGGGGGGGCAGCTCCACAGTCCGGACTGTCTGGACAGCTCCTCTGCTGCTGCAGCCGAAGCCCCAGCAGGTCTTGGCTTCGAAAAGGGGTTCAGGGGCCCCCGGGGGGCCCCCCCCCAGGGGGCCCCCCAGGGGGGCCCCCCCCGCGTCGCCGCCGGGGGCCCCTGGGGGGGCCCCCCGGGGGCCCCCCAAACCCATGTCCAGCAGGTAAACAGCGCCGTCTGCTGCACCCCCCAAAACGAGGCCCTCGCGCTCGTCTAGGGGGGCCCCACACAAGAAAGCAGCATTTGCTGCTGCTGCTGCTGCTGCTGCTGCTGCTGCTGCTGCTGCTGCTGCTGCTGCTTGCTGCCTCTGCAGTCGGCAGCAGCAGCTGCAGGTCCCCCACAGCCCCGCTGTGAGCAGCAGGAACTCGAGCAGCAAGTCTTTCTGCATGCAAGTCCCAAACAGCAATGGCTCCCTTTTTGCTGCCAGCAGCAGCAAAAGAGTTGAGCCAGACGAACTGCAGCAGCGGGCTGAGGGCCTCCAGGGCCCCCGAGGGGGCCCCCCAGGGGCCCCCAGGGGCCCCCAGGGGGGCCCCCCCGGGCCCCCGCTGCAGCAACTCCACTGCGGGCAGCTCCGCCAGCTGCTTCTTTCTCTTCAAACTCCACAGACGCAGAGACCCGTCGTACCCTACGGAGGCCCCCAGGGGCCCCGGGGGCCCCCGGGGGCCCCCCACTCTTACCTGGCTGACCCCTGATCTGTGGCCCGGGGCCAACTCCACACATTTCACTTTGTTGCGGCTAGCAGCACAGACCACAGTCCCCTCCCGGGGGGCCCCCGGGGGGCCCCCCCCTGCAGCAGCAGCTGCTGCTGCTGCTGCTGCAGCAGGGGGGCCCCCGGGGGGCCCCCCTCCTCGGGGGGCCCCCAGAACGAGTGCGCGTCTGCTGCTTTTCCCGGGAGGGGGGCCCCCACATTTGGCCAAAGACAAACTTTGCCATCCATTCCCCCCGAAAGTAAAAGTCCATCAAAACTAAATTCGCAAGAAGTGACCCAGTCGGAGTGCCCCCAAGAAGTCCCGAACAATTCGCACACCAAGGAGCCCCCGGGGGCCCCCGGAAGCCGGAACACACGCAGGCCGCCGTCCGCGCTCCCTGTGGCGCAGTACATCTCTGAGCAGCAGCAGCAGCAGCAGCAGCAGCAGCAGCAGCAGCAGCAGCATGTTTGAGGTGAATGATAGTGTTCAATTAATAGACACAACTGAAGAAATGAACTTCAAAGGATTTCGCTTTTTAAGGAAGCTTTTTAGCTTTTTAACTTGTTGTCCTTCGTCAAGCAGCACCACCTGCTGCTGCTGCTGCTGCTGCTGCTGCTGCTGCTGCTGTTGCTGCGCTTGGTTCTGCAGCAAGCAGCAGCAGCAGCTCGCGCCCTGCAGGGCCGCAGTGGGCTCTTCGCGGCTGGCGTCGCCGCGAGCTGCCTGCGCCCGGCAGGGCTTAGGGTTTAGGGTTTAGGGTTTAGGGTTAGGGTTTAGGGTTTAGGGTTTAGGGTTTAGGGTTTATGTTGCAGGCAGCGTCGCATGACCACCATTCAGTGTTTAGTCTTCAGCGCATAATGCCCAGTGCTCAGTGCCCCGTCTCCCCTGCTCCCTGTTCCTCGCAAGGGTTTAGGGTTTAGGGTTTAGGGTTTAGGGTTTAGGGTTTAGGGTTTAGGGTTTGGCGGACTCGAGGGGTGGAGGTCGAGGCAAAGAATGGAGCGGTCGTGGCCATTCGGCAGCACTGCAGCAGCAGCAGGGCCTTTGCGGAGGCTGTGGGGTTTGCGAGCAGCAAGCAGCGGCCTGTAGACTGCTTCGCGCGGCAGCGCTGCTGCTGCTGCTGCTGCTGCTGTTGCTGCTGCTGCTGCTGCTGCTGCGGTGGACCCGGAGGAGGAAGGCCGCGAGCCAGGGGGGCCCCCTGTCTTTGCTGCAGACGCACTGCTGCGCCTGGGGGGCCCCTTTGGGGGCCCCCCTCCTGTGGCCCCTTGGGAACTCCGCCGCATTGCTGCTGCTGCTGCTGCTGCTGCTGCTGCTGCTGCTGCTGCTGTTGCTGCTGTGCTGCTGCGCGTGCTTCCGCAGCCTAGGTTTGCTTCAGCTGCGGGACTTCCTGCTGCTTCTTCCGCCGAACTGCTGCTGTTGCTGCTGCTGCTGCCAGGAAGCTTTGTCTTCCCGCGAAGAGCCTCAGGCTAGTGCTGCTGCTGCTGCTGCTGCTGCTGCTGCTGCTTCGGGTTTTGAATAAAAGCTAAGGCGTACATACACCTCAGCTGCTGCAGTGCGGCAGCGCACTTTTCCCTATTTTCAGCTGCAGAAGAAGCAGCAGCTGCTGCTGCAGTTGCTGCGCCTCTGCTGCTGTTGTACCTGCAATTGTGGTTGCTTCTGCAGCACCTGCTGCTGCAGTTGCTGCTGCAGATGCTGCTGTCTAATCACTGCTGCTGCTGGCGCCGTTGCTGCTGCCGTCTCTGCACTTGCTGCGGCTGCACCGCGGCTGCCGCCGCTGCTGCAGCCGGTGCTGCTGCTGCTGCTGCTGCTGCTGCTGCTGGTCCCGCTGCAGCTAGCGCTGCTGCTGCTGCTGCTGGTCTCGCTGCAGCTAGCGCTGCTGCTGCTGCTGCTGCTGCTGGTCCCGCTGCGGCAGCAACCCCCAGAAAGGGCCTGTCTTGGCTGTCTCCAACCCAAAGGAGGGGCGGAGACAGAGAGAAGAAGTGGATAAAAAGAGACAGGCAAATAAAAGAAAAAAGACAAAAAAATGAATTAAATGGACTAAAAGAGCAGCATTTGGGGCCTCTAAACAAAGAATGGGAGACAAACAAAAGGAGGGCCTTTGGGAAAAGAAACGGAGACAAAAGAAGCGAAAAAAAGGGACAGAAAGGAGACAGAAAGAAATAAAAGTGAAGACACTGCAGCAGCGCGCTGGCCTGCTGCTCGTGCTGCAGCAGCTGCGGTGTCAGTACACTCCACGGTCTCCACTGGCAGCAAATCCGGCCCACACATCAGCAGCAAAAGCTGAGAACTTCGAGACAAGGACCGGGGCAAACGCGGGCCAAAAGCAGCAGCAGCAGCAGCAGCAGCAGCAGCAGCAGCAGCACGCGGACGAGGCGAAGAAGGCCAGCTGCTGCAGTTGCTGCTGCTGTTGCTGTTGAAATAAAACACACACACTATAAACAGCCAGCTTCTAGTGTCTGCTTCTGAGGCTCTCAATCTTTGGGGCCCCCGGGGGCCCTTTCATTGAAGCAGCAGCAGCTGCTGCTGCTGCTGCTGCACCGCTGCCGTCACACCAGCTGAGCAGCACGTCTGCTGCATTTGCTGCTGCTGCTGGCGTTGACGCAGCAGCAAGAGATCGCACACAATGTCAAGGAGACACTTGGCTTAAGAGTAGACTGGCAGAGACAAGGGCTGGGCTGGACTCGAGCTGCCCTTTGATGCACATTCTGCTGCGGTTCTGCTGCAGCAGCAGCAGCAGCAGCAGCGGCTGCTGCTGCTGCAGCAGAGCCGCTGTCACAGCACAGCCGCAGCAACCGGTGTTTCGTTTCTCTTTTGTTTTTCTAATTAATTTCGTTTTTGGATTTATTTGCTTCTCTTCCCTCCCGAGCTGAGCCTGTGCCGCGCAGCGCAGCAGCAGCAGCAGCAGCAGCAGCAGAGCGGGGCCCCCTATAGCGCCTCTTAGCCTTTTTCGGACTTCAGTCGTTTGATTTGTAGCTTCATTTTTCTAGCAGCAGCAACTGAGACAGGCAGCAGCACCAAGACAGCAGCGGCAGCAGCAGCGCTGCAGCCTCGGGAACAGGCGCAACAGCAGCAGCAGCAGCAGCAGCAGCAGCGGCTGCCGCTGGAGCAACCGGAGCAGCAGAAGCAGCTGCAGCGCCCGTAGCGCAGCAGCAACTGTAGCAGCCAAAGCAGCTACTGCAGAAGCAGCAGCAGCAACAGCAGCAGCAGCAGCAGCAGCTGGTGTCGCCCCCTGCCCCCTCATGGGTCTCGAGCTGCTGCAGCACCATGCCACTGGCGCACCTTCTGGGCGAGAGCTTCGTGCGCCCTCTCTCCGAGCAGCTGCTGCTGCAGCAGCAGCAGCTGCTGCTGGAGGAGGAGTGCGAGCGGCGGGCCCGTGAGCAGCCCAAGGTTGACAGCCTGCATCTCCCGCAGCAGCTGCAGCAGCGGTTGCTGCAGCAGCAGCTGCTGCAGCAGCAGCAGCTGCTGCAGCAGCAGCTGGACAGTCTCGAACGCGATCGCGAGGTGGTCTATGAGCACCAGCACGCCGTCCACGAGCTGCAGCGGCAGCAGCAGGAAGAGCTGCTGCTGCGCCACCGTGACTTGCAGCAGCTGCAGCAGCAGCAGCTGCTGCAGCAACAGCAGCAGCAGCTGCTGCAGCAGCAGCTCTTGCAGCAGCAGCAGCAGCAAGATGGCTCGCCACGAGCAGCAGTTCGGTGGCGCTCAGTGGACCTCGCAGCTGACTTGGGAGTTCCTCCTGCTGTCATCATAGCCACCCCAGCTTCACTGCGGCGTAGACAACCCGCAGGGCTAAGCAGCAGCAGCAGCAGCAGCAGCAGCAGCAGCAGCAGCAGCGGCATGGAATATGTGGGTCGCTCTGTACGAAGTGAAGCTGCTCCCTCGTCTGCGTTCGCGCAGCACGGACGGGAAGCAGCAGATCCCGCAGCAGCAGCAGCAGCAGGCGCGCGTGCAGCAGCAGCAGTTGCGGGCCCGTTCAGCCTGCATGCTTATCAGCAGCAGCAGCAGCAGCAGCAGCAGCAGCAGCAAGAGCGTGGGGGTCTGCTGCCGCCGGCCTTCCGAGCGGCGAGCGTGTCGCGGCCGCGCGACGGCGCCGCAGCAGCAGCAGCAGCAGCAGCAGCCGCGCCCGCACCCTCAACAGCAGAGCCCGCTGCCGCCCCCGCAGCAGCAGCAGCAGCAGCAGCAGCAGCAGCAGCAGCGCCGGGCCTGCGGCTGCAGCTGGGGGGCCGCAGCTTGCTGCAGGATGTGGCCCTCGACAGCGAAGGCTGGGCCTTGTGGAAAGAAGCAATTGGCTGGCAGCTGGGGCTGGCCCCCAACAGTGCGCAGCTAGCTGAGAGGATCCTCACGAGAAGCAGCAGCACGCAGCAGCAGCAGCAGCAGCAGCAGCAGCAGCAGCAGCAGCAGCAGCACGTGCAGCAGGAAGGTCTGCTGCAGCAGCAGCTGCAGCACGGTGGGCGGGAGGCGCAGGCGGCGTCTGCTGCTGCGGCCCACGAGACGCTGCACCGGCCGAGGGAGGAGCAGCAGCAGCAGCAGCAGCAGCAGCAGCAGCAGCAGCTGACGGAGCAGCAGGAGCTGAGTGACCCTCGTTTGCTGCAGCAGAGACTGCAGGAAGCAAAGCGCTTACTGCTGGAGCTGTCTCCTCCGAGACCGACACGGGCTGCTGCTGCTGCTGCTGCTGCTGCTGCTTCGCTGCAGCTGAACAGAAGGGCGTCCGAGGGGGGCAGCCTGCGGGATGTTGAGCTGGTGGGTTTGCTGCAGACAGCAGCAGCAGCAGCAGTAGCAGCAGCAGCAGACTCTGTTTAATCGTAGTGAAGATTATTTAGCTAGTCTTTCTTGTGCTGCAGCAGCACAGCAGCACGAACAGCAGCAAGACGTCGGCGCTGTGCAGCTGCAGCAAATCAGAAACCAAGCTCACCCATCCTGCAGCACCCGAGTTGGCTGCTGCTGCTGCTGCTGCTGCTGCTGCTGAAAGCAGCATTGCGGGCAAGCTTCTGCAGGGCTGCTGCTGCGCAGCAGACACAGGCAGAAGCAGCAGGCAGCAGCAGCAGCAGCAGCCCTGCGACTCAGCTGCTGCGCACTGTGCGCAGCAGCAGCAGCAGCAACAGCAACAGCAGCAGCAGCAGCAGCAGCAGCAGCAGCAGGTGTGCTGCTGCGGTGTGTGCGCAGTCTTTGGCCCCCGTGCTTGGCCTGCCAGTGCAGCAGCAGCTAGTAGAAGTGGGGGGAAGTTCTCCGCCCCCCCTGGGGGCCCCCCACTTGAGGAGGGCCCCCCACCTGTTTGGGGGCCCCCGTCGCCGGCTGCTGCAGTCTTGCAGCAGCAGCTTGCGAGCAGCAGAAGGTGAGGCCTGCAGCAGCAGCAGCACGCGGGAGCAGCAGCAGCTCGTTTGCTGCTGCTTTCGCGGGCTTTCGCGTTTCAAACGGCCCGTTTTGCTGCTGCTGCTGCAGCAGCAGCAAACTCGGGCTCAAGTAGTGCTGCAGGGATTCAGCAAAAAGGACTTTTGTCTTTTTCATTATTCATTTTCCAATTTCTTTTTCAAATGGTCCTTTTGCTGCTGCCTTTCTCCCAGCAGCACTTGCGCAGCTGCTCGGGTGTACGTACACCCGCCTGTCTTTTTGCTTTCATTTGACTTTCAGCAGCTGCTGCAGCAATAATAAACATTTATAATATAAATATAATGCTTGTAAATATATTATATGCATATATATATATATAATACTTATAAATATGTTATATACATATATATACATATAATGCTCATATATATATGTATATGTATATATATATATATGTATTTTTTTTTTAAAAAAAAAAATACATATTTATAGATTATATATATACATATATATATTATATATGTGTATATATATGCATATATATGTATTATATATGTATATATATCTGCCTCTATTTGCATTCATAGTTATATATGTTTTATATATATATGCTAGTATATATGGATACGCACTTTTTTATATTTACATACAAGTATGGATATATAGAATATATATTATATATTGTTATATATATATTATATATTATGTATACACATTGTATATATATTGTATAATATGTATTTTATATTTCTATTATATATATTATATATAATATATATATATAATATATATTATATATATTATATATATATTATATATTTGGGTGCAGCAGAAAGTGTGTGTGTCTGCTGCAGAGGCAGTCTTGGGGCCTCGACCTGCTGCGCCCACAATAAGGTCTCCGCAGACAGCCCGGCGGTTCGTTGCTGCTGCTGCTGCTGCTGCTGCTGCTGCTGCTCGC